AACTACTTAAGCATACACTGCTAAGCACAATGTATCTGCCACTCGCATACGAATGAACTAAGTATAAAAAAACCCACATAATATATCTATATTATACTTACGCCAACAAACGTCATTTACACATTTACTACCTGTACGGCAGAAGTTACCGTTCCCACATTGTTCACCTGAAACAATACAATATGCTTTATGTACAATACAGTTTCTCTCAATAGGTCGGTACTTATCCATTTCTTCAATACAGCTAATTTTCTGTGTGTTGTTATTGATAATAACAGTCCAGTTTTCACAGATAGTAGACAGCAACTGTCTAGTCCTTCGGATGAGACGAAAAACCGAGGTCCCGTGTATACATTGGAATGCACGTAAAAGATCCCCTGGCATTTGGATGCCCGTCTTCATTAGCCCAGTATAGGAGCAGAACAGTAGGACGTTAAACACCATTTCATTTAATTTCATTTCACAGATAGTAGATAATTAATGCCACTCGGCAAACCTCGGCAGATTCCGTTACTCTACATCTAGCCTCCGCTGTATGGCAGTAAGTGATATGTACCCACGCCTGTACAATTGCGATGCGGCACTGGTTTACTTATTAGGAAAATAAGTTATCAAAATTGCGTCGTTCGCTTGAAGCATATGTAGAATTTTTAGTGCAACGTTGTCCTTGTTTGAAAAAAATCGGATAAACTTGAAAGAAAAACAGCTTCAGACTTTGAAATATTTGTATGATAAAACATTCATCTAAGGCGTCGTCATGGGCAACGCCGTTGGTAATCCGGGAACTTGAAAGTAGTTCCAATTTCGAACTTCGTCATACAGCCGATGCTAGATGTAGGGTACTGGAATCTGCTGAGGTTTGCCGAGTGTAATTAGTGCATATCGCGTGGCACAGAAAACACGAGTACACAATGTGGGGCATGTGGGGCACATATTGACCATGGTGACTGTAATGTGACTTATCAGTCCAGCAAAACATGTTTTGACATTCTGTTATTATGTAAATTAGGAGCGAAGTTGTCAGTCATATTGTAGGCCTACCACATGGGAAACGTCAATGATATAGATGCAAAACTCTTTCAGGTATTGGGGGGTTGGATGGCTGGCTGAATGGTTAGCACGTGCGCGCTGTACCATAAAGTCTGTCATTGAGTCAACTGGCGTGGTTTCGAATCCCCGGTTGTACGTGGCAAGGAGTAGGGTCGCCTGTCCAACCTCGTGGGTTTTCTCCAGGTTCTCCGGTTTCCTCCCACTGCTAAAGACCCCTACGCGCAAGCGAATTATTAAAATAAAATTAAACCATGTGTTAGTCCCGAAATGACCTAATTTGTGTCGAGTGGACTTTAAACCCCGTTTCTCTCTCTCTTTTAGTTATTTTTTTCTGGGCCTTTGGATATAGCCATTAACTTAATCATATAATTCAAAGCATGAACTGGTTATATTATTAGATAATATTGTAAAATAACATACCCTGATCATTATATCCGGTATACACGCCATCTTTCTGTACATCACACACATCATCGAAAGTATAAAACATATATACATATATATATACATATAAACACGTTTTCAGTTATCCGAAAGGTTATTATATCAACCCTAAATCTGTGTTTTTAACCTAACAATCCAGATGTTTCTTTATTTTATTTAGAAACTACATGCTAGAGGCTGTACATTTTATCCACAGCTTCCTGTGTTAACTCTTCTTGGAAATCCGTTATCAAATCAACGCTTAAATACTTCTTCACTATGAGGTATAACTATTTGCCATATGCAGAGCGCCCCATACAGCCAAAATTTTCCCAATCTGATTAAAATACAAATCTATATTTCGTTTGGTTTTTTTTTTATAGTTTCGATGGCCTACACTACATGAAGATCTGACCGGTTGTAGTGGAAGGTCACATCAGTGGTCGTACGAGCGGCGTTTGATCCTATGTCGTCAGACATTGATTTATCATTCAGCGTTGACGTTTCTAGTGGTTTACTCACAGTTCCGTGCATCACACGCCAAGAAGTCGCCGTAACAAATGGTTTCATTGGCTAAGCCCTCACGACATCCAGAAAGCAGGTTATATAACAACTCTTCCAGATCCTAGTGTAGTACAAACAAATAAAACGAAATTTTGAACTATAAAAAAAGAAACGAAATAGGATCTGTGTTTTAATCAGATTGAAATTTTCCCTACTGAAAGTTGAACTCGACACGGCGAATGTGCACGTTTCAGTGGCTTGTCTCGAAGTGATTCGTGCTAGTCACTCGGTGCAATAACACTTAGGACAAGAGTCTGTAAATAGCCATCGCACGTGAAATTCTCTACACATCTATCAACTATTACAGCCGTAAAATATCAATTGTTGACGATTCTGAATAGCAGTGATATTTAGCTTTTTTAGTTATTACAGCAGCTTAAGAATTTACGTTCGTTTTATTTTATAAATCGATTTATCATTAACTATACCGTTAGGAGCGACATCTTTTGGTTTAGTACAAATGGTATCTCTGAAACACTCGACTTAGGCAAGAACATGATACTAGCAGTAGTTTCATTTTAATTTTACAGGGTTCTTAAACAATTGTTGAGTTGCCTAACGTGCGTGTTTCTAAATACAATTTCTTTTTCCAGCTTTCTGTTATGTTTCATAAAAAAAGTAGTCTTGATTATCCCGGCCTGTCAATCAGACGGAGAATGGTCGGTAGACTGGTTAAGCGAGACTAATTTCAAAACAAGGGCACGTAACCTATTTTTTTACTTTAAAGTGCCTGGATGTTATTTCCCCATTGACTTTAATGTTAATTCTCGTCTCTTAGACCTACTCTAACTTTTTCCCAAATGTTCGTTGGGTAGAACGCTTTCTGCCACAGATGGAGCAACATGTGGCAAACTCTTGCCCAAAAGCATGCTTGAGGTTCACCAAGAAAAACTTGAGATACACAAGTTGGAAGTAGACACAAGTAAACATGCAATTTCCGGCCCTACATTTCAACGTAACCAACCTCACAACTCTTGATCCTTCCGCCTCAAAATCATGAATATTCACCAAAACCGGGCAGAAAATGTATTTTCAAACCCTTTTTTTCGATTCTACACCAAAAAGTCAACAAAAATCGCCATGCAAAAGGGGGGAAAGGGAAAGGGAGAGAGAGACTAAAATTAACTTTGGCCCTTGTTTCGGCGTAGAAATATTTGGTGAGCTGTGTCCTTATAGCCGACACTCGTAACCATTTTTCAGTCTATCATTTATTGATGGTAACATGGTCATAGCTTCTTAACTACAACATGAGCGTCTATTTAGTGACTATAAATGTTTGAAACTGATTTAAGGATTGGTATATATATATAAATAGTGTGGTGTAATTGTCGAATTTGGAGATATTTATTCACTGAGGGGGGGGGGGGGGACCTTACCATACGGGAAGTCCAAATTACATTTACATTTACATTACTATTTTTAATGGAGACTTAATTTCATTTCCTGTCCATTAGATTTACAATTTTGAAAATTAATCTATCATGACTTTCCGGCTTCTGAATTTTATCTACAGGTCATTCTACTGCCTCTGCTAGTGCAATAGCTTGATTGAACATGTTTTTTTGAATCATGATTTCAAATGCCATGGATATATTGATCAACTACATGGTCATCTCAATGTGTTTGCCGGTGCGTTTGTGGCCATATAGTTGTAAAGAAGTGGGTTCACTTAAAATTTTCATGGCCCAGCCCCTCTTGCCCATGGACAGTTGTGCCATCTCGGTTGCGGTTCAACCATTCCAAATAGCAACTTGCTCAAAATACAAAATGTAATCAGGCCATTCCGTTCGTTCACCATCGAAGTTATCTGGCTCATTTTCTTTTCTGATAATATAATTTCTTATGGAGGATCGTGCCCTTCGAGACGATGTCAATCTGGACCTACTACGGGGACCAACATATTAAGGCCTATTAGGATGGTAGCTACTGCTCTATTTTAGGGTATTAATAAACAAAGATGTTCGCTCAGAAAAAAACACCTATATAAGGAGATTCATCCCCTTCGGAAGGTTCTTTAGTCTAATACTTACAACTTTTATCCTTACTTGTCTCGAATGTCATTTCAGAAACACGTCGTTTAGGAGAACTTGTTTAGCATCGGCGTCTCCAACTGTAGAGTTATGGGAAGGTGGATGAGACACAAATTCTCCCTCCGAATCAGAGCTTTCATCTTTATATTGAGATAATGGATCTAAACTTGCGGCTTTGTAATCAGAAAGCCTGGCAGTTCGGTATCCACCAGACAAAGAAGGATCTGGTCTATTCCATATTGAGGTTTGGTATGCCCTACCTGCATCAAATGTTCCAGAACTATGCACGAATTCCGAATTTGTAAGGATTTGTGAAGGATCTTCGTCCTCCTGGTTTCTATAAATATATGAACGATAGTAACAGTCTTGATTCTTCGAACTTCATGATGTATTGCTGATAAATTCAGAACGTGTTGTCAGGAATATGCAGGGGCAGCTTCTAAGAGAACATTTGGCTTAAACAAAATTTTATTGAAGTATTTTAAGTCAAAATGTTCCCTCAAAAGCTGATCCTGCATAATCCTTGCAACAAGTTTTCAATTTAGCTGCAATCCACCACGAGTGTTAGGAGAATCGAGAAGTCCACAATGTCCCGTCGGCGTCGTCCAAGGTTTGCTGATATCCCAATCCAATACCAAATTACTGACAAATGTGAGAAAAGACACACTTCAAATATGCAAAATCAGATACAACAAAGGTAACAGCGACTATTTCAGATTCCCCCCTGAAATGGTGACATGCAGTATGCTATGAAGTCAATTTTGCTCGGAGAGCGGCATATCCTTTTACTCTTGATCGCATTCCAACTGTCAAGGATTCACTGCGCGTACGTACACGGGTCGTTTCTTGCCAGGCCCACTGGGTAGTGGAACCCCTCTGACAATTCACGAGGACCCGGATTCGGACCTGGGGTATATTGGTTATAAATAAAACTGAAAAGATATAAAAATCTTTATTCAGTGAATGGTTTAACATCTAGTTTGAGTTTATGGTGGAGCTAACCCAGGACCTAAGATCCCAGTTATCAGCGTAAACTCCTGGTCTACCAGGTCGTGCACATCCATAGCCCCAGCTTACAACACCTGAAAATTAAAAAGTATATTTTAAAAACACATCAATATATCCAGCTTATTACACCTAACAATACCTAAAAGATATCATTAAAATACATTTACATATCCCCTAAGCTGAATATGGCATTTAATTTTTAGATTATTTATATATACGGTTTTAAGCATTGGTTAAAGAGGTTGTATATATTGTTTGTAAAATACATGTAGGATAGAGATAATATAGGCCTAGACGATTCCCCAATTTTATCCTTTATAAAAAATGGTCTTATAAGTGACGGAACACCCAATCAGATTAAAATACAGATCTATATTGCGTTTCGCTTTTTTATACTTTAGATGGCCTCTTCTACCTGAAGATCTGACCAGTTGTAGTGGGGGGTCGCCTCAGGGGTCATATGAGCGGGTTTTGACCCCATCACGTCAGACATTTGATTAACCAATCAGTGTTGATATTTCTAGCAGGATACTCATAGTTCCGTGCATCGCAGGCCAAGAACTGGCTCCAACAGACCGTTTCATTGGCTAATCCCTCGCATCAACCAGAACGCGGAATATATAACAACTCTTCAAGATCCTAGTGTAGTAAAGACAAGTAATAAGAAATTTTGAACTATAAATAGGGGTTTCAGGTCACGTGACTTTAGCGTGAAATCGGACAGCCAGCGGCTGAAATATAGCCCACTTCAATCTACGATTCTGAATTACTATTTTATGTAAATGCATTACTAGCAATTGTATTGCAATAGTTTAATATCAATCTCAATATCTGCAAAGATTCAGGCTAAAAGATTATCGAAATGTAAGCGAAATTACCGTTTGTTTACATGAGACGCTCGCGGGAAAATACCGCTCTGACATCACGCGGCCTGAGATTTTCCATTGCTACGACTCACTTCATTGGTGAATCCGCACCTTAGTTACCGGGGGATTTTGATATAGAACCCATCAAACGATAGATAACATTTTTGTGGTTCTTATGCTTGTTGATACCACGTGGTCGGACAATTAGACCCGGAGAAAATGGGATTTATCTGTTTTGATGACTGAAAATTGCAAAAAACTTTCTTGAGGTATCATCCAGATTATAAATATTTGACATATTATCATTCAAATTATTACGATTTTAATAAATTTTAGCTGACAATAACGTGCGGATTTCAGTTTTAAAATTGGTACTAGCGATTCTGAAGGGAAAATACCGCTTATGACGTCACTCAAATATGACTGAAAAGCACTTATTTTGGTGCCATGCCACGCATTGACTGGTATAGAGCATTTTGATTACATTATTGACGTCGATCTCGGATTTGAAAATTCCATAACTTTGGATCTAATTAGAATATTTTGATGAAATAAAAAAAAATTGGGTAGCATTTTATGTATATGTTCACAAAATATTTTTTAAAAAATTTTTTTCTGTCATTTGAAACTTTGACCTGAAACCCCTACTATAAAAAACGAAACGAAATAGGATCTGTGTTTTTAATCAGATTGATTCTACGATTACGCACCAAAGTGTCAGCTTTAATACTGGTTCAATTTAACACAAAAACTTTAAAGTTACTAAAATTGTCTCTATAAGTTGGGTACAAAATGCACAAGGGGAAGTCGCTTGTAAATATAGATGAAAACTCGGCAATGACCAGTTTCCAATTCGATGCATAAAAAAAACTTGTAAAACAACACGTTTTTGCTTTATCCTTTATCATCAGACGGTGGGATGGGATGGGCATTCGAAGCGCGAGATAATGACATTGACATAATGTGATATCACAATTAATGCTTTGCATCAATGAAATTGAATCACAATGTGATCCATTTCCTATTAATTCATAATAAAGATTTATGTCAAACGGGGTGTTAGATTTCTCACCTTAAAAAGCCCAATGTGTATGTATGCCAACGTAATTTGGGGACGATGATGGCATCATGTCACTGTCAAATTTCCTTAACCGGAACATGGCAAACCCCTCCTGCAAATATTCCTGGCCCCGCCCCTGCGATGGGCTATTATTGTGTCATGGATATTTCACGGTTAGTGCTAAATGATAAGGCCAGCTCAATTTTTCGTCATAGGTCACGATATGTAAATAGAGCTAGCTCTAATCCCAACCCTTATCCTAACCCTGAACCTATGCCCAATGCTTACTCTAAACCTAACCTACAATCTCGCCAACAATTACGTGCCCTGACCCTATTTACATCTAAGCGACCTTGACAAAAATTCTGCTGGCCTTAATAAATATATTTAGCCATAATTCACAGAAACATAATTCAGTAGATATACACATTTACTTGTACACTTTTCTGTCACTCTGATTAAAACACAGATCCTATTTCGTTTCGTGTTTATAGTTCAAAATTTCGTTTTACTTGTCTTTACTACACTAGTGTAGGTCATCGAAAGTATAAAAAAAACGAAACGAAATATAGATCTGTATTTTAATCAGGTTGACTTTTCTGTCAAATATAAAATCACTGTTTGATTGAGTGCAAGCATTTCAAGAATATTAGATCGAATTTTTACCGTTGTCAGTCATTACATCACATGTTTGCCCAACCGGGTTTATATAGTAAAGCATTAGACTTTTTAAAAGAGACAGTATTTTATCAGAAATTTTAATTGTATATATATATATATATATATATATATATATATATATATATATATATATATCATTTCATTTTTGTATTTAATATTTATATGCATAAAAGTTGTATTTTATTTTTAATTTTATTAACTGTGATATTGTTTTTATTTATGCATATGTTTTTCTGTGATATAATTTAGTCTGTCTCGTAATATTCACCATATGTTTGGAGCAATATAGCCCGGTTGGAGCTGACGTGCCATAAAACCACTTTTAATTTCATTTCATAAAATCACTACATTTAAAAAAATAAAACCAAAATACAGTGTTAGGAGCTTGACTTGTGACTCGCATTTATATTATGTTGAATTTCATTATGTCCAAGTCGCACAAATTTAAATATTTCAAATATTCTTACCAACGAGTTCCCATACACCATTTCGTTGACAGAAAAATGGTCCTCCACTGTCACCCTAGAACAAGAAAGAAATTCAGAAGTCTTTAACCCACCTGTCTGTACCTCTAAAATATACGCTTAAAAATACATTCTGGAAGATTAGATAATAGTTAAATAAAAGATAATGAAAATGGATAATGCTGAAATTTTCAGTCAAATTCCTTCACTCGATTCCGAGACAAATTTATTGTAAAATCTCTGTAGCCTCGACTGTCTCTCGATTACCCATTTTTGTGTTTAATCATCAACGGACGTTGAACAGCAGATCGGATTCAAATCCAATGAAAATCGAACAGATAAGATGGCATCGAAAATTGATTAAGGTCTTTTCATGTCTAATTAATAGTTTATATAATTGCATTTGTAACGTTTACAGGATATTGATCTTTAACATATGTTTTTTTTTTAATTCGTACCTGGCAGGTATCTACTCCACCAGCAGCATAACCAGAACACAGCATAGAGTTAGAGTAGTAACTGTTAGAACCAAGATCAGAAGAACATTGAGAATCGGATAAAATAGGTTTAGAAGCTTCTTGTAGACGACTAGCAAGAGAACCTGTGAAAAAACAAGTAATTTTGTATTTTATGCCAATTGTTAGCAGATGTTTGTTGGATGTTTGGGACAAGAGTATGAGCGCCTGTTCAACCTCGTGGGTTTTCTCCAGGTCATCCGGTTTCCTTCCACTGCGAATTATGACCTAGTCTCGAAATGACCTAGTTTGTGTAGAATGGACGTTAGACCCCATTTCTATCTCTCTCTCTCTTCGTAAAAGTGTCCGCTGGTAAAACAGATGGGAGGAATCAGTTGTTGCCGCTAAGCTATTATCCCTGAACCCTGGCGGTAAATTGGTCCTGTTGATCAATGTATCGCAAATTGATATTAAAACAAAATATTTACCTGATTCAGCCAATGTTCCCCAACCAATTACAGTACACATTTCATTAGCGTAATGATCTCTGCTGGCATAACATATGGGGCTAATTTCGCTGGATTCCACAACAGAACTGCTAAGGACGAGAATTGAGATGTCGTTTTCTATGGTGTTTGGGTTATAGCTAGGGTGGTTGATAATCCTGCTAACATCCACATTAAGGGCACTGCTTTCTGACAAATCATCAGTTCGGAAATGGGATCCGAATTTTACAGAGAAAGTATTAGCGTTTGTTCCATACCTGCAATGGTTATTATATTATATTATATTATATTATATTATATTATATTATATTATTGCATTGCATTGCATTGCATTGCATTGCATTGCATTGTGCTTTTGATTATAGATATCTGCAATGGCCAAAAATAGCTCTAAGAGCTGAAGAATTGGACTGTCTTCATTAGCCCAGTTGGTGCAGAAGAGTAGGACGTTAAACCCCATTTCATTTTATTTCAACTTCAACGTACTATTGTGACCGACCGAACTGGGCTAATGAAGACGGACATACACCATACAGTGTGCTATGAGGAAAATTTTGCCCGGACAGCGGCACTACAGCCTACTATTAAATCGAATTCCAACTGTCAAGGGATTTTTTTCCGTGCACGCCGATGTGTACACAGGACCGCGTCACTGACAAGGGGAAACCACGCCGGAAAATCTGGATGAACTTTAGTATATATAAGTTTTTACTTACGTGCAGTGTGCAGCTGTAACGAAGAAGTGTTTACCAGCCGGACTTTTTATCAAGGAACCGCCACACATATGGCTACCGTATCGTCTGAGACTTCCCTAACAAAATACACTTCCACATTTTACGAAAATGTTAAAATGGCAATTGCGCTCTTAGCTCTATCAGAAATATAATGTTACTGGATTTATCTCGTCCGGGTTTGTTTTATTTGTTCAATATATTACGTCCAGAAAGAGAGAGAGAGATGGGGTTTAACGTCCACTCGACAGCAACTAGGTCATTGCGGTCCATCCAACCCCCTTTACGTCCATAGACATAGCCACTGTTGAAATACAACAAATTCATTCTTCTTTTTGTCGACACCGGGAGTTGGATGGCCGAATGGTTAGCGCGTGCGCGCTATATCATAAGGTCTGTCATTGAGTCAACTGGCATGGTTTCGATTCCGGGTTGTACGTGACAAGGAGTGGGTTTTCTCCTGGTCATCCGGTTTCCTCTCACTGCTAAAGACCCCTACGCGCAAGCGAATTATTGAAATAAAATTGAACCATATTTTCCTGTCTCTCTCACTCTCTCTCTCTCTTTTGTCGACACATTAATCAAAAACGAAACTTAAGATTAGTAAACAACCCTCATTTCATTTTAAACTATACAAACGGCTGATTATACTTATAGCGCCAGGTCTGGATTCCGGCGCAACTCATATTTCAGAATCTAAATTTTGTCAACTAAACGATGTGTGGATTTTAAAGATGGTTATAAAAACTAACTACTTACAATCCAAGGCCATTTATATCTGGGACTGACTTCAGCTCCACCAACGATAAATGGATCTGGTGCACGTCCAGTTGCAACCCCACAACCGGGTGCGGTTATCATTGGCGTCGCATTTGGCGAAGCATATACTATAATTAACACAATAAAACCAAATATTTATTGAGGAAGACAGCCTATCCACAAGAAGCCTGATATTACAAAAAAATTATACCACTTCTAATTTGTGGAGATCATGGTGCTAACATAATGTGTGTTGCATCTTATTCTTAAGTGAGAGTATGTCCAGCACGTCACCACCCCCCACCCCCGCATCAATTGGGCCGGGTTCGACGAAGTATTTTGAGCATTAAAGATAAGCGCCTTTAAATTTCCACAACCTCTTTGGCCAAACATGCATTCCTTTACATGTTAAAACAATATCATACATCCTAACGAACAAACAAAACAAATGGAATTCCTATTACTCCACGGATATTTGAGTAATAATAAGCATACCCTGCCTCGTCGAAAACACCCGTCACCTTAATCTAATTTCACAGCAATCGTCCTCAAGCTTGCACGAAACGTTCGCATCATCGTAGGAACAGGCTAATTCCAATATTTATATGTTTATGTTTGAGTTTAACCGATCTTTTACCAAAAACTATAACTCACAAACCTGCAACTATCAAACAAAGCACCACAGCTAATCGTCCTTCCATTGTTGTCAGAATAAGAAGAAGTGTGGATAGTTGCCAGATCGCACCCTTTTATAGTAATTGAACAAGAACATTGTAACTGGGTTACTGAATTTTTTTAAATTCTCTCTTGGTGATAAGAGATGGACCAGACGGGGCAGTACCCACAACTGGGCTAGGCACTGCGGTTATCACGCTAAAATCATTTGCTGTCTATAATTAAAGTAGTGCACATATTACTGATTAAAATAGATTAGTTGTCCTTGTTACACGCGGGAATGTTGTGCAAGAAATTGCCAGTCAGATACACTTTAAGATAACTTTAACTAAATAATAGTTGGTTCCTCGTGTGTAAGCATATTCACCACCAAATCTAGCTGTCTTTAGTATCGTGTTTTCTTTGTATATATAGTTCATTACTACCCATCCCATATCATGGCTTCCCATCCACTTGATGATTTCTAAATAATTATCTCTAATAATGATAATAATGGACATTTATAGAGCGCAAACATCCAGCTAGAGTAGCTGCTCTGGTGCGGGTAAGACGCTGGCTCGCTAGCCTGTAGGTCGGGTGTTCGATCCCTGCATTGGCCGAGAAAGTTCATCCAGACTTTCCGACGTCGTTTCCACTTGTCAGTGATGCAGGACGGAGGGTCTGACAAGGACAGCCGACTAGTCGTTCGGATGGGACGAAATACTGAGGTCCCGTGTACACGTAAAAGATCCCTTGGCAGTTGGAATTCGATATAAGAGTAGGCCGTAGCGCCGCTGCTCGGGCGATGATTTCTAAATAATTATCTCTAATAATGATAATAATGGACATTTATAGAGCGCAAACATCCAGCTAGAGTAGCTGCTCTGGTGCGGGTAAGACGCTGGCTCGCTAGCCTGTAGGTCGGGTGTTCGATCCCTGCATTGGCCGAGAAAGTTCATCCAGACTTTCCGACGTCGTTTCCACTTGTCAGTGATGCAGGACGGAGGGTCTGACAAGGACAGCCGACTAGTCGTTCGGATGGGACGAAATACTGAGGTCCCGTGTACACGTAAAAGATCCCTTGGCAGTTGGAATTCGATATAAGAGTAGGCCGTAGCGCCGCTGCTCGGGCGAAATTTCCCTCATAGCACACTGTATGGCGTATGCCCGCCTTCATTAGCCCAGTTTAGGAGCAGAACAGTACGACTTTAAACCCCATTTCATTTCTGTTACAATACTCATAATGGTGGGAAAAAAGAAGTTTAAAGATTACACCGGGGAATCACGAAAGCTTCGTGAAACAAATGAGTTTTTAGTTTCTTTTTGAAAATGTTTATGTTGTCTACACTTGTCTGTTCAAGTGGAAGCACACTCCATAGTGTCGGAGCAGCCACTTTGAAGCTTCGGGGACCAAGAATACTTTTTACTTTTGGTACGACTAATAGGTTCTGGTTCTCTTAGCGAAGGCTTCTGCTTGGTTGGTATTGTTGTAGCAGTGTGGATATGTATTCAGGGAATTCAGTAGAGTAGAGGGAGCAGTATGTGAAACATAAGATTTTGAATTTAATGCGATATTCTAAGGGCGATTGTATACGACTTTTGTCGTTGTTCCATATTTGTTCTAAGCTATTACCCTCGGTGGAAGTAAAACTCCAGAAACGAACGAACGTTCCATATTTTGTATATATATATCTTCATTGTTGTACTATGGTTTTCATTCTTTGCTTGATAAAGACGGAAGAACCCTTGTCGAAACTTCGCTGAAATAGATCCTTCATGTGTTAAATAATATGTAGTCTTAAAAGACCAACACTGAAACCCATGTTAGTACATTAGTATATGTTAGTCCCGAACTGACCTAGTTTGTGTCGAGTGGACGTTAAACCGCATCTTCAGAAATATCTCTTCAACAAGAAGATTAGCTATCGTAGTAGTCTCCATGTTCCCCATTGGGTATGCCTCCGTCCACTTTGTGAAGTAATCACTAACCACCAAAATCTAACTGTTTCCCCTCGAAACAGCTGGTTCTATCTGTCCCATAATGTCAAGCACCATTCTCTTCAGATCATCACCTCTTTGAAAAGAAACAAGACCTTTCCTGCTATTACAGCCGTTACGTTTACCCACATAGTCCTTCGCTTGAATAATTATATTTCTCCAGTAGAACAATTTCTTCGGGCGATTTTGTGTCTGGTTTACACCAAGGTGACCAGCACTAGGCACGCCTTTGGCACAATTAGCTGCCTTGTCTTTTCTCCTGTTTTCAGTGTTGAGCATCTGTAGAGAACATCATCTTCAGGACTAAATAAAGTCCACTGTGACCAATGTTTCTTTGCTTCACCAGACTATGGTGTAACCAGAGGCCAATCTGGCTTCTGTTTCTTCTTTTTCCACTGATGAGGAACTCCTTGCTATAGAAATATGGTCTAAAACGTTTAACAAAGACTATTACTGCTAATATAGGTGCTGTTGTCAGTATCGTTTTTAATTTTAAAAAAGCTGCTTTCTCTTTTTCGCCCCAAGAGAAACGGACTTCCTTTTGTGACAAGTGATTAAATGGACCAGCAATGTGCAGCGGAGCCCCAAAATCCCTCAATTCCTTAACAGGATGCCCCATACAGTGCGCAAGGAGGGGAAATTGTGCACGGACAGAAGCCCTCCAGTCTACCCTTATTTCGAATTCCGCTGGCTCGCTAGCCTGGAGGTCGTCTCCGCGGTCAGTGCCCTCATTTTGCGCCCCCCCCCACTTTTCAAAATTCCTAGATCCGCCCCTGTAAGGTAACATAGTAGTAATTAGTCCTACTAGTTGAACAAGTTAAAATATTGATGAAATTAGAGTTTAACATACACTCGACACAAACCAGGTCATTTCGGGACTAACACATCGTTCAATTTTATTACAATAATTCGCTTGCGCGTAAGGGTCTTTAGCAATGGGAGGAAACCGGAGGACCCGGAGAAAACCCACGAGGTTGGACAGGAGACCCTACAACTTGTCACGTACAACCGTGAATTTTTGATATAGTGCGCAAGTGCTAACCATTCGCCCCCCCCCCCCGCGTGACGTCCCTAGATAGTTGACATCTGTATGTGTCTTGGGTAGATTTGAGTGGCATTGGGGAAATAATTTTGATGGGGCCCATTGTTTTCCGGGAGCCACGGTGGGTCAGTGAGTAAGGCGTTGGCTCGGTAACCTTGAGGTCCCGTGTTCGATCCCTGTATCCACATTTTCCGGCGTGGATACACCTTGTCAGTGGTATAGTCGTTCGGCTATCCTGCCGTTCTTCTCGCCGGGTAATTTGTTAGTATCGTATCGACATGTTCGGGAATATGTTTAAATTGTCTCACTAAATCATAGAAAATCAAGCCTTTAAACCTTCTCTCATTTCATTTCCACAAAATAGGATGATAAACCGATGTCCATGTACTCATTGGCGTACAGGTGAAAGATCCCTGTGTAGACTGAATTCGATATAAGTGTAGGCGGTATCGCCACTGCCCAGGTAACACATGTATCTCCCTCACAGTACACTGAATGGCATATACCAGACTTCATGAGGCCAACCGGGGTTGAACAGTGAGACGTTAAACTATGCAAGTACCTCCAGCTATATTAGTGGTGCAGGACGGGAAGGTTGGGAGTGGGGGGGCTTTGTCAGGAACAGCAACTCGTCTGTTGGACGGTACTAAAAACATCCAGCTTTAGCATTTTTTTTTACTGGAACTACTACCCGTGCATCCATCATTCATTTTCATACTGAGAGAGAGAGAGAAATGGGGTTTAACCTTCACTCGACACAAACTAGGTCATTTTGGGACTAACATATGGTTCAATTATATTTCAATAATACGCTTGCGCGTATGGGTCTTTAGCAGTGGGAGGAAACCGGAGAAAACCCAAGAGGTTGGACAAGCAACCCTACTCCTTGTCACGTACAACCGGGGAATCCGAACCACGCCAGTTCACTCAATGATAGATCTTATGAAACAGCGCGCACGCGCTTACCATTCGGAATCTCCCGCCCCCATCTCCATACTGTAACAGCTACCTAAACACTATACATATAATATAGTTGACTGTTATAACTATTAGCATGGTCTGTTAATCTGGATATTTTACCCTCTAAACCAGTGGTTCTCAACTTTTTTTGGTTAACGGCACACTTTGGAATACACGAAACAATATCGGCACACCTGGCTAAATATATATGAAAAATATTTTAATTTTGCAAAATTAAAACATGGCAATTCAGACGGAATATAACCGTAGAGAGTGACTAGTCATTCACAGGTATGAACTTATCAGTAGACACCAGTGAATACTCAATTGGGATCACCTGGTTTTTCACATTTTCCTAGTGTGCCGTTCAAAATGATCTCGGGGCACACATGTGTGCCGCGGCACACTGGTTGAGAATCACTGCTCTAAACAATACAGGGCCCTTATTCACGAAAACTTAAACTAAGATACAATCAAAATTTTAAGAAATACTCCAATTCGATTGGCTGACCAGTAAAATCAATTTGCATATATCCAATTTGCATATTGGTCAGCCAGTCGAATTGCAGTATTTCTTAAAATTTTGATTGTATCTTAGTTTAAGTTTTCGTGAATAAGGGCCCAGAACGAAAACCTGGGTGACGTAAACAGCCATATGACGTAAACAAAATAAACAACAAACAAACAACAAACATAAGATAAGTTTATTTTGCGATCTAGATTAAATTTTAATATCTTATTGGTTTAACTGCTTACTTTAATGGTATAGTATATTATAGATTAAATTTTAATATCTTATTGGTTTAACTGGTTACTTTAATAAAGTAAAATATAGTACATTATTAAAGTTGTTGGTATCTGAGTGCTTTAAAGAAGTACTGTTGAATATATTGTAGTTGTTGGTATATAGGTGCTTTAAAGAGTTACAGTTGATTATACTTGGAGTTGTTCGTTTAGGCAAATATGCACATTGAATCTCCACAATTCATAGCTGAAAATACAAAATATGTTTCATATATCACAAATAAACAACAGGTCATAATCCTTTCAATAAATTTAGGAAAAAAACCCAACAAACACCATACTCTATTGTCGAAGATTCTGTGTGCTAACGTTTTATGACTAAAACGTCATAAGATACATGTTCATTTAACATTATTTTAGACGACTACAACACCATAAGAGACACGGGCTGAAAGTAAAGAGAGAGAGAGAGAAATGGGGTTTAACGTACACTCGACACAAACTAGGTCATTTCGGGACTAACATATGGTTTAATTTCATTTCAATAATTCGCTTGCGCGTAGGGTCTTTAGCAGTGGGAGGAAACCGGACGACCCGGAGAAAACTCACCAGGTTGGACAGGCGACCCTACTCCTTGTCACGTACAACCAGTTGACTCAATGACAGACTTTATGACAGACCGGGGGTAAACCTAAAATACATCCTCCCCCAACCCCACCTCCACCCCGTGTACACCATGGCCCACATTACACGCAACGGGAACGAAGAGGGACAACAAAAATTTCTTGGTGTCAGATAATTTGTAATTGCTCGAGTCGCGTCTTTCTTATTTAAATAAAAAGGTTTAACCCGTCTATATATAAATTATAAATAGAATAGTGAATATTCACTTGCACAGTATCCACCCTCACATGGAAAACTAATACACTCATAGTCATTGCGGCATGGTACTATAAATATATGTAATATATCATTATATGAGACAACATGAATATCATGAATAATAAACATACATTATGCAAGAGCTAAATCTGCCTATTGCAGGTCATTCTTTAGGCCTAAAATGTTATCTAAATTATTAATCAGACATTAATTAACATATCCAGACCATAATCAACTCTAGATGGCATCGCTAGCCTGTGATCTTTAGTGGATTGTGAGCCGGTGGTTGAAATTATTACACACGTCTTGTCAAACCTTCAAGACTAATATCTTCGTTCGTAATAGAGTAATTTGAATGAAATTTTCAAATTATTCATTTTGAATTATCTATATTCGAACTATTATAGCAAGAATGGCTAGCTCTTTATCTAAATCTTACATAACGTATCTTTAACATATTGAAGAGTTATATTTACAGATGTCTAGAAATATTATCGTTAATATATATAAAATGAAATGAAATGAAATGGGGTTTAACGTCCTACTGTTCTGCTCCTATGCTGGGCTAATGAATACGGGCATACGTCATACAGTGTGCTATGGGGGGAAATTTTGCCCGGGCAGCGGTACTATCGCCTACTCTTATATCGAATTCCAACTACCAAGGGATCTTTTACGTGCATTCCAATGTATACGCAGGACCTCGGTTTTTCGTCTCATCCGAAGGACTAGACAGCTGTCCTTGCCAGGCCCCCCGTCCTGCATCACTGACAAAGGGGAACCACGCCGGAAAATCAGGATGAACTTTCTCGGCCAATGCAGGGATCGAACACCTGACCTCCAGACTAGCGAGCCAGCGTCTTACCTACTATAAATGACCTACTGTCCATAATTTAAATCATATTTACATCGACAAACACCACTTGAACAACTGCTAGCTTTAGTTTCACCCAAGATATCGCAAAATGTACCATCAGCCGCTCGATAACAGGTACTTACAGCTATAATAAAGTTAATTTACAATATACAACTGTGCTAACATGATCTGGTTGACATGAAATGAAATGGGGTTTAACGTCCTACTGTTCTGCTCCTAAACTGGGTTATTGAAGACGGGCATACGCCATACAGTGTGCTATGAGTGAAATTGTCAGGCCCTCCGTCCTGCATCACTGACAAGGGGAAACCACGCCGGAAAATCTGGATGGACTTTCTCGGCCAATGCAGGGATCGAACACCCGACCTCCAGGCTAGCGAGCCAGCGTGTTACACCCACTTAGCCAACATGATCCCCCTATTTGACATATAATCCAAGTGTCACCAAGTGTCACCAAGTGTACCTTCTGTGAACAGTTTAAAGGAGCTAAATCGTTAATGTTTGGGACCTAGAAATTGACACCGATGGGTCGCAACTCATATAATACTGTAATACGAATATATATAAGATGATTTAAAGTCAATCGTGTCTGCTTTTACTGTATTTTCTAATCAGTTATGTTCGGCGAAATACGTCTCAATCCAATATGGCAATCTCTAGCATCTGACTATTCCAGTATACACCGATAGTATTATTGCCAATGCTCTCCACATAAGAATATGGTGTCACCGTTTGACATGACTTGTGGAATATGTCTAGCCGCGTTCTTCGAGTCCCTTGTTACAAATGGCGCTGAAACGCATTATGGTACACGATTCGTGTACCAATGGTAAAATGTTTATTTTGTCTTAAATATTGGATATCAGAAGCCCATCTTTTCCCGGTAAGATCACAACATCAATGTTCATTTAAATTGACAAATAATGTTCAAGACTTTGGATGACATTGAGTTAGAGACTTAACTACTTAAGCATACACTGCTAAGAACAATGTATCTGCCACTCGCATACGAATGAACTAAGTATTGATAATAGAAACAGGCGTGTTATAAAAAAAACCACATAACATATCTATATTATACTTACGCCAACAAACGTCATTTACACATTTACTACCTGTACGACAGAAGTTACCGTTCCCACATTGTTCACCTGAAACAATACAATATGCTTTATGTACAATACAGTTTCTCTCAATAGGTCGGTACTTATCCATTTCTTCAATACAGCTAATTTTCTGTGTGTTGTTATTGATAATAACAGTCCAGTTTTCACAGATAGTAGACAGCAGCTGTCTAGTCCTTCGGATGAGACCAAAAACCGAGGTTCCGTGTATACATTGGAATGCACGTAAAAGATCCCTGGCATTTGGATGCCCGTCTTCATTAGCCCAGTATAGGAGCAGAACAGTAGGACGTTAAACCCCATTTCATTTAATTTCATTTCACAGATAGTAGATAATTAATGCCACTCGGCAGATTCCGTTACTCTACATCTAGCCTCGGCTGTATGGCAGTAAGTGATATGTACCCACGCCTGTACAATTGCGATGCGGCACTGGTTTACTTATTAGGAAAATAAGTTATCAAAATTGCGTCGTTCGCTTGAAGCGTATGTAGAATTTTTAGTGCAACGTTGTCCTTGTTTGAAAAAAATCGGATAAACTTGAAAGAAAAACAGCTTCAGACTTTGAAATATTTGTATGATAAAACATTCATCTAAGGCGTCGTCATGGGCAACGCCGTTGGTAATCCGGGAACTTGAAAGTAGTTCCAATGGCGAACTTCGTCATACAGCCGATGCTAGATGTAGGGTACTGGGGGCAGTTTCACAAAAGTTCGTAACTTTAAGAAAAAAAACTACGTTAAGAAAGACTTACGAAAAAGATACGAAATATTTACGCCGGTTTCACAAAGGCCGGCGTAAGTTTTTTCTTAACTTTTTCTCGTATCTTTTTTCGTAAATACGTCACGAATGGTCGTGACGTCATGTTGCGTCACTTCATTCACACTTCTGTAAACATTCCCGCGGACTGAATGTTGACAATGTCGGCATTATAGCCGTTATGTTTGATTTGATCCTTACCTTTTGAAACATAAACGACGAAATGATATATTCCTTATATATACGCTAAGATTTAGCGGTGTATTTATGAATAAAATGCTATTTTCATGCCTGTTGTTTACTTGTTTTTGTTTGCTACGTCATAGCGCGTGACATAGTACCATACGTCGTCTGTAAGTCTGCCAAAAGCCGAAATGGAACCAAAAAGGCGAAAACAAAATTGGAACCCGGCAGCTCTCGGTGTTTTAATTGTGGGGGTTGAAAAGAATTATGGGATTCTGAAAGGAAAATTAAGCAGCAGTTTGACTAGGTCATCAAAAGACGGAGTATGGGAGAATATTTGTACAAAGTAAGTGTCGGTCTTTGCCGCGATAGGCTTACTCTTTAGGCCCTAGCTAGGCTAATAGTACAGGGCCTAGTAATAGCCTACTGTATTAATACTATAATAGTAATACCATTAGCCATAGTCTTGTTTAATGAAAACTAGCGTACTGAGATTATTTTTCCTGAGCTCCTGTTTGTGATAAATTAAATACTATGTAAATGTTGTAGTATATGCTGGCTTACAACCGAGGCCCTATACTTACTAGGCTTCATTTCAGCCTGAGCCTGCAAAGCTGAGGCCTATAGCCTATAGGCATACCGGTACTAATCCGACCCTGGCCATTAAAGGGAATTTCATATCAATCGTGAAGTCTGAACACTAGTCTCAAATTGTGTAAATTTTACTTGCAGAGTGAACAGCGTTTCCTCGGAGAACAGGAGTATTGAAGACATAAAGAAAAAATGGAGTGATTACAGTAGCGGGCTAAAGAAGAAGGAAGGCGCCAGGAGGAGAGAGATGACAGGCGGGGGCGATGCTCCGCCAGATCTAACGGACATGGAACAAAAGGTGCATGGCATTATATTGATAGTCACGAGTAAAATAAAATAATCTTTATTTGCTAATACAGTATAATAGCCTATACGATAGGCCTACTGTAACACAAACACGCCCTCTCTCTCTCTCTCTCTCTCTCTCTCTCTCCCTCTCTCTGGTTCAGACTGTGTGTGATTTAAAGTAGGCTGTATTCTAATGATAATTTTGTATTTACAGGTGATTAACATCATTGGAGACGTGGCCATTGACGGTGTTATTGGCGGTATTGACACTATGGGTAAGTTCATTTATACACGTACTCCTTTTTGAGTCTCAATCGACTTGTCTAAAATACCTTAAGCAATTGAACATAGGTCTTAAAATATTAAATTTCTGTATACCATTGATGTTTTCACAGATCAAGATATGAAAGGTAGGCCTACTGGTAGCTCGTCCGCTTCAGCATCAGTCATTGATCATATTGATGTTACTACGGACTTAGCCCTAACGCCACAAGACAGTAGCGTCGGCTCGATGACTGGTAAGTACTGGACCCAGCCAAATAAATTTATTCTAGCTCTGTGAAGCTTAATAAAATACATAACAAATATACTTTTTACGTTTTTATGTAATAAAGAACGCGTTAATTATGCCTTTTGAGATTTTAAAACATTTTGTGTAATATATTGATAAATCAGTAAGGTACATCTTGTGACTTTCTTCTATATTTTCAGACTATACATGCACTCCAAATACCAAAAAAAGTGCTAAAGTATCGGCCAACGAGGAATTATTATCCATAGAAAGAGAGCGACTTTTAACAGAGAAAGAAAGATTGTTGATAGAGAAGGAAAATATGAAAATAAACAAAGAGAGACTAGAGGTGGAGAAAGAAAGGCTTAATTTAGCAAAACGAAAGTATTCAGTTCGATCCCATTACACATTCGATGATGAGATTGAGATGTTCCCTGTTATAAAAATTTTCGTACAGCCAGAGCCCATAATTCAGGAAGTTACCATTCGATATGCGCGAATATTGAAAGGATCCAAGATCTTTGGGTTATAAACTTGCATTTCAAGTTTCATCAAAATCAGATCAAAATTGTGACCTCTAGAGGGTCCACAACCTTGATTTATCAGATGTTTACACTATTTGCGTACGAGGGGCAGCCATTTTGTCCAGTAGTTTTGGCCCGATTTTCAAGAAATTCGACGTTAACAAACATTATGGTGTAACGGTGATATATTTGAACGTTTTTTTAAATCGAATTATAATTGTGACCTCTAGAGGGACCGCAAGCTAAAAACGCGATTTTTCGTACAACCAGAGCCCATAATTCAAGAAGTTACCATTCGATATGCGCGAATATTGAAAGGATCCATGATCTTTGGGCTATAAACTTGCATTTCAAGTTTCATCAAAGATTTTCATGAAATTCGACGTTAACAAACATTATGGTGTAACGGTGATATATTTGAACGTTTTTTTAAATCGAATAATAATTGTGACCTCTAGAGGGACCGTAAGCTAAAACTACTGGACAACATGGTCGCCCCTCGTACGCAAATCAAGGGTGTGGACCCTCTAGAGGTCACAATTTTGATCCGAATTTGATGAAAGTTGAAATACATGTTTATAACCCAAAGATCTTGGCTCCTTTCGATATTCGCGCGTATCGGATTGTATCTTCCTGAATTATGGCCCTCGAATGTACAAAAAATCGCGTTTTTAGCTTGTGGTCCCTCTAGAGGTCACAATTATTATTCGATTTAAAAAAAAACGTTCGAATATATCACCGTTACACCCTTACTTCCTGGATTATGGCTCCTGATTTTTCGAAAAATCGCATTTTTAGCATGCGGATTCTCTAGAGGTCACAATTTTTTTCCCCCGATTTTAAAAAGGATGAATTCGAATTTCGGGAAAATCGAAATGAAACTGCCGGACCAAATGGCCACACTTTGTACGCAAATTGTGGAAAAGTATGCTACGAAGGTTGTGGACCCTCTAAAGGTCACAATTTTTATCCGATTTTGATGAAACTTAAAACATATCCCAAAGATCTCAGTCCCTTTTGATATTTGGGCATTTCAGACCATAACTTTCTGGATTATTGCCCCTGATTGTACAATCATGTTTGTTTTTAGCTTGTTCTCTATCCATCTCTTGCAAAATGTGGGCGTATCCTGCCTGGCAGCCGCTGGTTGATTTTTGTCTTAATAATGAATAATTGCTCCACCAATCCTAGACATTCAGCAATTCGCCGTGGCATGCTCCTAATCAACCGTCCAATCACGATTTGGGGCAATCTGACCAACTCCTCTTGCAGTGCCACGGCCAATTCTTGCAGTGTTATCGGTTGACGTCGACGAACACGTCTCCCGATCATGTCCCAGACATGCTCTATAGTGAAAAGGTCAAGACTCATGGCTGGCCAAGGCATATGGACAATATGGTGACGCTGTAGGTAGTCATTCACGACACGAGCGCGGTGGGCACGGGCATTATCATCTTGAAAGATAAAACGTCGACCTGCACGTTGAGCAAAGGGCAGAACTATCGGTGCCAGGATGTGGTCACGGTAGTACGCACCAGTGACCCTTCCTTGAACAATATTCAAGTCTGTTCTGCCAGTCATGGTGATTCCTCCCCACACCATAACAGACCAACGCCCGAATCTGGCATGCTGTATGACGTTAACATTAGCATGGCACTCATTTACACGCCACCAAACGCGAGCACGCCTATCGGTGAAATACAGAGTAAATCTGGACTCATCTGAGAACATTACACGCGCCCATGGACGATTATCCCAATTTCTACGCTGCCTAAACCATTGACGCCTGTTTGCCATGTGCTAGCGAGTTAATGGAGGCACAACACGCGGTCGTCGCGCATGCAAATGGGCTGCATATGGCCGATTTCTAATCGTTTGGGGTGTAACTCGAACTTCTGTAACTTGGTACAAGTTAACAGAAAGCTGATTGGCCGTTTGTCCTGGATTTCGCAGGACCTGTGTACGAATGTATCGATCATGGGCTTGTGTAGTGTCTCTAGGACACCTGAACGAGGTCTATCAACAACATTGTGTGTTTGTTGGTTGGTACCGGTACCACAGTCTGCTGGTCACAGGCTGTGACACATTAAGCATGTTGGCTACTGCTCGCTGTGTAGAAACCATTTGAAACATGCCAATAGCACGTAGACGTTCATCGTGTTGAAGACGTCTCATTGCAACTTAACATACTAAAGCAAAGCTAAACAGTAAATCTTATGCAAGAACCGATAGGAAAGCAAACATGGACAGTTTTCATCAACCCTTCCTGGAAGTGTCAAATTTGACAATGAACCCCTCCCACTTATATGGCGCCATTGCGTGTCGCACTTGCAGCTCAGTGGTTCTGTTGGGGCGATAAGTTCTTCATCTGTGAACATACTCTCAAAGCTGTTAAGTGTCCATGACTATTTATCATATCTCCTACTTTGTTTTTGAAGAGTATAATAATGATAATTTAAAAGAATTTTTTTTTCATTCCCGAATAACTATTAACGATTTGTTTTGTTATTCCTAGTTTTTGGGGGTTGGGTAGTCTAGTGGTTAGTCAGGATGGGCGGGGCAAGTTAATCTCAAAAGTGTAGTGACCCCAATCAAATTGCAAAATCAGCCATACTGATATTAGACAACCTCATACTCAAATTCGGTCGAAGTCTTCCAAGGCGAAATTACGTAATTAACATAATTCAATATGGCGGTCTCAAGGAAGTATTTGAGAGTGATATCTTTAACTAGTGCGTTTCAGTGATGGAGCAATAAATAAATTCTTATTCAAACCTTACAATACAAAGTGGTAATAGAGGCGAAATGTTCCGAAAATAACAAATTTTACCAAATCAATTTTAAACAATTTTTTTTTCACACGGTACCGGCCATTTTTTTTCATAATGGTTGCCAAATTTGGTAATAAAACGGCATTGTCCCAGTATATAACCAGTCACTATCTCGTACGATATCTCTTTTACTAGGTCTTTTTAATGTTACTTGGTTCAATTCTGATTCCTAATTCTAACTTTGAATATCACAGATGGTATAAATTTAAAACGGCAATCAAAATAGAACCCATACTAGCGATTTTGTTCAAAATTAAATTTAAGAATTCCAACCATCTGTTTAGCGTTTATTTTATAAGGGCATTTTTCTTCATTTGGTATGTCTTTACACCATCTTTACCGGAGTTAAAAGTTGTTTCGATACATCTAGTTAAGAATTTACGCCCTAATATTAGGCCAGAAATGGTTATGCGATCCGTGTTTACAGCCCTTGTGGTATCAATTCTAGGGATGGTAGTTTCAAGGGCCTCGAAACTGGTTAATGTTCTTGCGTAGTTTAGGGTCCCCTGTTAGTCATGAATTTACGTTGCTTTTGATGAATTGTAAAGGATGCCAAACGTTAAATATGTGCATAAACTAGAAACACCGCGATATACCATAGAAAGTACCATTTACATCGGTTTTTCAAAAACATTTCTCGCCCGTTGGGAGAGAACACCCCTTCCCCGTAGTGTGGGGACCCCTAACAGAGCAAGAATCATGAGTACCCCTATATAGTTCGCTATTGGTATCTTATAGACCGATAGTAACCCACGAGTTCATTTAAGAAAATAACAATTTAAACAACTTTTAAGTATGGCCTACCACCTGTAACATTTTCCCCTCGAACTAAAAATAATTTTTTTATTGGAATTTTCGATGAAACCGAAAGGTTTGTTCCGCACAGGAATTAGCTTAGAAGGGCAAAATCCAATTTGTAGAACCAGATATTTGATGTTAGTGGATCCATATGTTTCCAGGAAACCTATTCACGCAAAATCTTATTTTCTATCTACCTGTAGGACTGTCCCTTTAACTAAAAAAATAAAAAAAATTGTTTATTAGAATTTTCTATTAAACGTAAACTTGCTTGTACACTGTTAAAATTATTATTTATTTTTACCCTTTTTTAACTGGCAGAAATATTGCCATCGTATTAACTGTATTTTAACATTGCACATTCTGTAATGTAACTTTAACTCTAGTTATTATTCATCCAAGGTAAAATTACGTATCTGTAAATGGAATACAAGTCATATAAAATTACCATATTAATTTACATAAATTGGTACAATAACATTAAAAGAAAATTCATGTTGTGTATTTTGAGAGAGTTTATGTATTAATACTTCATAACCATTATAGAATTACATAAAGTTTTGCGGACCTTTCAGTCGAGCATGTGAAACAACATTCGATAATGTAAATGAATTAAATAAAATGGGGTTAAATATCCCACTGTTCTGCTCCTTACTATGGAAAGAGTAGGTGGCATGACACAGTCCAAGCAAAATGTCCCACACAACCCTATGTATGGCACATGCCTGTCTTTATTAGCCAGTTCGGAGCATACCGATTTTGATTAGTCCTTTTCTCTAAAATGGATCGACTAAACCGACTGACAGAACACTAAATATTTGATATGTGGTCAAAGGGGGAATAACCGATGTGACCACTATTTGATAGTAAATTTACAATTTTCTGTCAAAGTAATATTTCAAATGGTATTTCTGTTAATATACAGTTCACATAATGTAAACTGCCATATGATGGTATTACTACATTCATTTTGATGTAATCTTAGATAAGCCCTGTATTCATATACACTTACATAGTTTTAAATGTAACTTAAAAAAACATGTGATATTACAAATCGGACATTGTATTTTTACTATACTTATAACTGTAAATATACATATAATTTTAACAGTGTAGCTGTAAAATACTCGCCTAATATACCAGTTGTTAATTTGCAACAGGTTTAACACCATATCTTTCTACACGAAGTAACAATAATTGTTCATTTGATGCGATGGAAACAGTTTTATACCTGTAAAATTATATACCAATTAATTTATATAAGTGTAGGTGTGCCATGGAATATGGAAATTTGCAACACGTTTGAACACCATAACTTTCTACATGACCCAACAATAAACTGTTCATTTGATAAATATAATTTGATATATATAACTGTAAAATAATATACGAATTATCATTTTATATGGCGTATTTTTACTGATAATTAAAGTAATCAAGTTATGCGGGAATTTGAAACACGTTTTAACATCTCCCCACCCAGTCCCCCTTTTCAGGGATGGACTAAAAAGGAGTCTGGTAGTTTCGGGGGTCGATAAACTAGTTAATGTTCTTTCGTAGCCGCGAATTTACGTTACGTTGTTTGATGAATTGTTAAGATATATAAATAAGTTAAAAATACCAGGATATACTCTAGAAAGCATCATTGCAGGCAGTGTTTTCAAAAGAAATTTCGAGCTGTGTGGAGAAAACCCATCGTTCACCTCACATAGGTATCATATGTGTATTGTCTAGTCTCCATTGCTGGCGATAAAACAGTATAAGCGTGGCAATTGCGAGAACTTGTCGTGAAATGAATAACAGTCAGCAATGAACCCGTGTTTACCGTATAAAAGACACAGTAAAAGTCACATCTTACGAGATTCTCGCCTTTCTATTATCAAATTTGGCAGCCAGTAGCCGTCCATGTGCAAAATACATTTTTTTCGGCACATTTCGCCTCTATAATTACTTTTTGTTTGAAGAATTAAAAAAAAAATATAGTTATTCTCCCATCACTAAACACACCGGTTACGAGATATCGCTCTCTGAAACTTCCTAAAGACCGCCATATTGACTAATGTTAATTACGTTATTTTGCCTTGGCCGAATTCGGCCGAATTTGAGTATGATGTTGTCTGACATATGTATAATTGGACTAAGCTGTATTGGTTTCTTTTGCAATTTGTTTGGGGTAAAACGTTATCCCTCCCCGACTAGGACTGTCATTGAATCAAGTGACGTGGATTCGATTACCGCTTGTACGCGACAATGAGTAAGGTCGCCTGTCTATCCCCGTGGGTTTTATCAGGATTCTCCGGCCCCCCCCCCACACACACACACTGCTAAACACCCCAACGCGCAAAAGAAAACATTGAACCATAAATTAGTCCCTAAATGACCTAGTTTGTGTCGAGTAGGCTTTAAAACACCCCTCTCACTCATTTGACAAAGGGAAACAATAATATATGCAAGAGGAAATCACAATCTTCTTTCAAGCCTTATAAGGTGTAGAGAATTTTGTTTGCAGATATATGTCAATTAAAAACAAAATAGCTTATTTCACAAATGAACAAAAATGATAGAAATTTCTAAGAACAAGTAAACATTTTAAGGTCGGCGATAACAAATAAACAAATTGATCAGAAAAAATTAATTGGAATGCGACAGCCCTGATGTGTCGCCCCAATTAACAAATTTGCAAGATCGTTTGGTGTTAATTTTGAAAGTTTTATTATCTCACGTTTGAATTTATTTCCAATTGTCTAGGTATAAAAATCTATCCAAGTTAACTCTAGTTAAAACTATTTTTGATTTATATCTGACCTTCTTGTCTAGAATCAGGAATCCTAGAACTTGCTGTGTAGGGGATATTCACAAACAATACAACACTGCGGAAATGCACTGCCGTTTTTATTAGAGGTAACCTGTGTGTGTTAATAACAGGCCAATTGCCTACACATAAACAGTTCATATGGGCGACTTATCTGACGGCCCCATTTCACTCGCAAAGAGATACACCGTCAAAAGTGGAAATGGACGTTTTTGATTTTTGTCTCAGTAATGAGTAATTTCTCCACCAATCCCCAGACATTCAGCAATTTGGGGCAATCTGACCAACTCTTCTTGCAGTGCCACGGCCAATTCTTGCAGTGTTGTCCGTTGACGTCGACGAACACGCCTCCCCATCAAATTAAACGTAACACCTAAAGCAAAAATAACACACTAAACAGTCAATTTTATACAAGAACCGATAGGAAAGCAAACATTGATAGATAAACCAGCACGCGGCAGTTTTCATCAACCCTTCCTTGAAGTGTCAAATTTGACAATGAACCCCTCCCACGTGTATGGCGCTATTGCGTGTCGCATGTGCAGCTCAGTGGTTATGTTGGGGCGATAAGTTCTTCATCTGTTAACATACTCTCAAAGCATGTCATATTTCCATGACTAGTTATTATATCGCAACCTGCAAAGGTATTTGCATTTTAATATCCTCTACTCTTTTTATGAAGAGTATATAATATATATGTGTCACGTACAACCGGGGAATCGAAACCCCGCCAGTTGCCTCAATGACAGACCGTACGATACAGCGCGCACGTGCTAACCATTCGACCATCCAACCCCCCATCGTCCTTAAAGCGTGAAAATAAAATTTAAAACTCTAGGTTAACGGTAGTGGGTCGATACAATAAGCACTATCATGTATAATGTTAAACCAGTGATTCAATTTATACATACATTATGCAAGACCTAAATCGGCCTATTGCAGGCCTTTCTTTAGGCCCGAAATGTTATCTAAATTATTAATTAGACATTAATTAACTTATCAAGACCATAATCAACTCTCGATATCACCGCTAGACTACGATATTTACTAGATTAGAATCCGATCTAATGCTGAACGTTCATTGATGATTAAATTTAAAAAATGGATAATCGAGACTATGTTTTTATCGTACCGATTTTAGTAATGATGATCGAGTCTAGGTCTAAAATTAAATCGCTAAATTCTCGGTTCAGAGTGGATCAGTTTGACTGAAAATCTCAGCAAATTCCCTTTACATTATCTAGTTTTTAACTATTATAGTGAGAACTGTCAGCCTTTTATCTAATCTCCCATAATGTAACTTTAATAAATCCTGTTTTTCTGGATATAATTTACATTTTATTCCATTGAGAATGTATTTTGTATTAGGTACTTTCTTTACATACATCTTATAATTGTTATAGTATATGTTATAATATAATATGTTATTGTTGATTATATTAAAATAAATATTTTTTGTTTCCTGTAGAATATTTAACATATAATTAAAAAAAAGAAAATGAAAATGTCAACGATAGATGATCTCCAAGTTTGGATTAAAAACCGGCCTATCAACGGATTTCAGCAAAAATTTGATGATATTCTGAGGTATAC